CCCTACAGGGCCAGCCAAGCTACAACACTTGAAATCTCCCAAAAATACACTGTGGCTTCCCGCCTCTTGTCACTTCACAATGTCACTCTGTCTAGAACACTCAACATATCCAGATTATATCCATTCTCCATAGTAAGTCCTAATGTCACTGGCCATCCTTCAAAAAAAGTGTATCTCCTTTATCTGGATCCCCACATCACTGCATCTCATCACTACAGCTGCACTTTTTTAAGGCCCTTACTTCTTTCTAGCTTACATTCCTATTATATACGTACATACACACGGTTTATCTATATATACAAACATACATATTTAAGTAAAGAAATATGTATTTGAAATTATAAATACGACATATATTATAAGTATACACACACACACACACACATACTAGATACACAGTTGACCCCTGAACAATGTGGAGGTTAGGGGCACCAACCCTCAACCCTAGCAGTCAAAAATCTGTGTATAACTTAACAGTCGGCCCTCCCTGTGCACACATGCATGTAGTCCTCAACCAACTACAATTCATGTATTACTGTAGTATGCATGCAGTGAAAAAAATCCATGTGTAACTGGATCTGAGCAGCTCAAACTCACGTTGTTCAAGGGTCAACTGTATATACATATATATGTAATGCATGTATATATTATTTCTCATTCAAGAATATGAAACCTTGAAGTCCAGACTGCTCTTCATCTTTATATCTCCACAAAGCTAACACTGTGTGTTGCACACAGCAGGCCACAATAAATAAGACAGCAATAATGGAAAACAGGCTGGCTAAAACAATAGAATAGACTTCCTACTTCATCAATCTCCGTAATACAGACAATTCCTCTGACAGAACACACACTTTTTTAGGAGACAGCAGATTCACTTTTTTAATGTATATAAGTGCTGAGAAAAAAAGATATTAATAACTATGCATTAAAACAACAAAAATAAGTTGAACTAAACCAAGAAAAGGCCTTAAGAGAGCAAAGACCAAATCTCATTTGACCATAATAAAACACGGTTTCAAAGATGTAAATGTAAAGAAATAGGTCACATTCAACAGAAATCACCCAGCAATTGGAGTGTCATGGCTGTGATACATGCACTGTCTAGGCTTAGCAAAATTCACAACAGAGCTGATCACGTCAAAGCAAAATATATTCTATCCCCTTTCTAGTAGCAAAATTTTAATTCAAGACTTAATGTGAAGCTATGCAAGGAAAATGTAAGACCTGAAATATAAAAACAAACATTAAAAAGCCAAACTTTGTATAAGAAGTTGACAAGAATAAAAAACAGCACAATCTTCTTATTCTCCTAATGTGTTTTTTATAATCAAAAGAAATGTTTGATTTAAGAAAATGTAATTATTTGCAGCATGTACAATTACATTGAATTTTATAAAATGTGAAGAACTCAACTCTGCGTGTGATCACTCAACCTCATCTAGAGTAAAACAAAGGTCTATTATCATTTCAGATTATTTATTGCATTTAGCATATTCTTTTCTGATTTTTTAATTTTTTCATTGGCTAGACTTTTGAAACTGATTTTCAAATTTCTTAAGAATATATCAACTGACTCTTCAAGACAGTATCTACATACACATTACTATACATAAAATAAACAACAAGGATCTATTACAGCACAGTAAACTATGTTCAATTTCTTGTAATAACATACAATGGAAAATAATCTGAAAAAAGAAAGTATATGTATAACTGAATCACTTTGCTATATACCTGAAACTAACACTGTAAATCAACTACACTTCAATAAAAAAGACAGTGTCTACACAAATTAAGAAAAAATAAACAGTATTATTTATTCAGTGCTATCATTTCCTGAATACCTACTATGTATTTAATCCTCAAAACAACTAGTGGCTCACTGAATACTCATTTCAGTTCCTTTTGCTCTTTCTTAAGAGAGATTCTTAAAATAACTGCAGGGAAATTCTAGAAATGAGAAATAAAAATTGAAACTGAAACACAACAACTAGTTTAAAAAAGAGATGAGGCACTGAAGAATTAGTAAATTAGAAAACAGATCAGAAAAATTAACCAGAATACAGGGTTTTTTTCTAAAACAGGATCATATGTATAATTAACTCATTATATTTATAATAGAACTCAAAAGTGCTTCAAACCACTTTCTTCATTAAGTATACAACTATACAGAAAAAAATCTTCTACTTCTCTTTTTCAACAACAACAAAGGGAAAAAAAGAGAATGAGAAAATTAAAGGTGAGTCCAGGAAACTCAGTATCTAGATAACAGCCATTTTGGAGAGAAAAGAGGAATCAGAAGGAAAGAAATAATCAAAGAACTAATTCAATTAATTTTCCCAAAAGTGAGTATTCAAAATGAATGGTCAATACTATGGATATAAAGGCATAACACAGCCAAATTTCAGAACACTGAGGGAAAAGAAAGAAAATCTCAGCTTTGAGAGAGAAGGGGGACCAAAAAAAAATAGGCAAAGAAAAATGGATTTTTACACCTGAGTGACATCAGAATTCTCAGGAACAACACTAGAAGCTACAAGACAACTGAGCAATACTTCCAAAATTCAAAGACAAAATTATTTCTAACCTACAATTCTATCCAGCCAAATCATCGATTAAACATTAAGATAGACTAAAGCCATTTTTAGACAAACAAGGCCTCAAAAAATATACTTTCCATGTACCCTTTCTCAGAAAGTTATAGAAGGTGGTGATTCACCAAACAACCAAAGGAATCAACTAAAATAAGCTAGAAGTGGTCACCTTTGGAAAGCAAGAAACTGGGTGGAGGAGGAAGTTTTCCAACTATTTAACATTTCGAATTATGTACAGAGATAACTCATAAAATCAAAGGTAAATTATAAGGGAAAAAAAGAGAAGCCACTTGTTGGGAGAGGATACTCATCATGTATGTAGTCAACCCAGAATTAATATCCAGATTATAGGCAAATATCAAGACCAAACATCCAATAAAAAAATAAATGAAACAAAAAAAGAATTTCATAGATGAGGAAACATGAATGGCCAATAACATGAAAAGCTTCTCAATATCATCAGCAATCAGAGAAATCAAATAAAACTACAATGAGTTATTCTTTTACACCTTCTAGATCAGTATTTAAAAGTCTAACATCATCAAGAGTTGCCAGTGAGAATGAGAAACAACAAACTTTCACACGCTGCTGATGGGACTGTAACTTGGGAGAACCAGTCTGGAAAACATTTGCATTACCTAATAAAGTTGACGATGTATTTACCCAAAAATTCAGCAATTCTGTTCCAAGTTACATATCCTGCAGAAACTCTTGCACACATGTGAGAGGAATGCACAATAATTTTGGCCACAGTACTATTTTTATAACCAAAAAACCAAATTTCTACTGGAAACAAATCAAATTTTCATCTACAGAACAGATAAATATGTTGCAATATATTCCCCAAATAAAATATTCTAATACTACTTAAAAATGAATGAACTAGAACAACATACAATAAAGCAAGTCACAAAGCAAGACTTGTATGTCTCCTGGATGATGCCATTTATATAGTCAAAGAGCAAAACCAAATATGCATAAGTGATAAAACTATAAAGAAAGCAACAGAATGATAAACAAAATTTAGGACAGCAGTTATCTTTAGGGAGTAAGATGGGATGGGATTAGGGAAGGACAAATGGGACTTCATCATGTGTGTGTGTGCGTGTGGCAGGTGGTGTACTCTTTGGTACTATAAATGTTTTATAATAAAATTCTAAATAAAACACAAGGACAGACCCATGATTGAAAAGAATACAAAACTTGCATACATTTTCAACCAAAAAACTTTAAGTCCGCTGAGGGTCAGAGAGTTTAAGGACTTACCAAGAGAGTTAAGTCTCAAAATTCAGAACTCAAGCTAGGTTTGTCTGACTCAAAATTTGACAACCTTCTCTTTTAGACAAACAAAAAGTTAGCTTGGCTAATCTATAAAATATATATAAATTTCATTTTCAAATAACAAAATTAAAAGAGAAATTATTCGAATTAAAAATGCCAAAAGTTTCAGGTGACCATCAATGTAGAGGGCAAATACCTGGAGCAGTGGCATCCATGAAGAGTGGGACATACAGATACACCTCATTTCTCTGTGTTCAGCTTTATGACGGTTCACAGACACTGTATGTTTTACAAACTGAAGGTCTGTGGCAACCTTGAGTATGAAGAGCAACTCTATCAATGCCATTTTCCCAACAGCATTTGCTCACTTCGTGTCTCCGTCACATTTTGGTAATTCTCTCAATAATGAAAAAGTTTGGATTATTATTATATTTGTTATAGTGATAAGTGATCAGTGATCTCTGACGTCACTATTGTAATTGGTTTTTGTTCTGTTTTACTAAGGTATGCGCATTATTTTTTTAGACATAATACCATTGCACACTTAGACTACAGTAGACTGTAAACATACTTTTACAGACACTTGAAAATCAAAAAATTCATGTGACTTGCTTTGTTACAATATTCTCTTTATTGGGTGGTCTGGAACTGAATCCACAATATCTCTGAGGTCTGCCTGTAGTTTGAAGACTCAACTGTGCAATAACCAATGCAGCCCTAATTTGCCACGAAAGCAAAGAGAAGGGGAGAACACCCCCCGAGGCCCTTGTATGCAAGGGCGTTTTGTATGCACTGTTTTGTTAGACCTCTCAACGATGCTAGGCGTTAGGCACTATCTTCATTTTACAGACAAGAAAAACAAGACTCAGAGAGCTAAGGGAGAAGACAGTCCTCAGTGGATATTCCCTGCGCCCCTTCCGGCTCAGAGAAGCTCAGTCTGCCAGGCAGACGAGCAGGAGTGTTCCGAAGATGACTACAACAACACTACAGACACTGAGAGCACTATACATAAGAGGAGGAAACGAAGAAGCCAAAAGAAAAATCAGAAAAATTGCTTCTCTCTGAAACTGTGCCAACATCCACCTAATACTCCACCAAATATGAGAGCAAATGGTTGCTTACCTGTGTCCAGGATGGTAAACAGCGGTGTTGATTCCATGAGGATAATGACTACTGAAGCTGAAACAGTGACTCTCCTGATAGCTCTGATTTGTTCCAACACTAAATTTAAGAAGATAAATAATAAACACCATTAAACCACAGTGATACCACTACATACTCACGAGAATGTCTGTAATTAAGACAGACACCACTAAATATTGCTGAAGATGTAAAACCACCAGCACTCTGATACATTATTAGTAGAAATATGGATGACACAACCACCTTGGAAAAGGTCTGGCAGCTTCTTATAAAAATAAACTATATCTACTCTATGACTTAGCAGTTCCACCCAAAGATACTGACCCAAAAGAAATGAAAGCATATACCGGTAAAGACTTGAACAAGACTGGTCATAGCAGTTTTAGTCACAATAGCACAAAACTGGACACTTAGGAGTTCTTTATCCATTCTTCAATTGATGGAGCTCTAAGTGTTATCTACTGAATATTTGTGACTCCCACAGACTGTATCTTTGTATCCTCCCAAAATTCACATATTAAGACCCTAATGCCACTGTGATGATATTTGGAGATGGTATCTTTGGGAGCTATTGGGTCACAAGAAAGGAACCCTCATGAATGGGATTAGTGCCCTTATTAGATGAGGCCAGAGAGCCAGCTAGCTCCCTTCCCACCACATGATGATACAGGAAGTCGGCAGTCTACAACCCAGCAGAGGATCCTCTCCAGAACCTGACAGTGCTGGCACCCTGACCTCAGATGTCTAGCCTCCAGAACTGTGAGAAATAGATTTCTGTTGTTCAGCCACCCAGTTTATGGTATTTTGTGATGAGCAGCCCAAACTAAGACACATGAGATATTCATATAATGAAATACTAATCAGCCATTAAAAAGAGTAAACTACTGACACATGTGAAAATATGGATGACTCTCAAGATACGATGAATGAAAGAAGACGGACAAAAAAGTACATACTCCATGGGTCCATTAATGTAAAGCACTACAATAGACAAAAGCAACCTATAATGGGGGAAAAAATTATAAACAGTAGCTGCTCTAAGAGTGGCTGTAGGCAGAGGTTTACTGGGAAGAGGCACGAGGGAACTTTCCAGCACGATGGTAATGTTCTGTATCTTGATAGGGTTGAATCGCACACGTGTGTGCATTTGTCATAACTCACTGGCTTGGGCACTTAAGAGCTGTGTATTTCATTGTATGCAGATTTTATCCCAAAAGAAAGAAAACTATGAGCAAATGTTGAATTTTAATTAATATAAACATAAATATTTTAGCATGCGTATCATTAATTCAAGTACTGACTCTGAAATACGTTAAAAAATAAGACTGATAAATGGCCGGATAAAGAGATGGATAGAAATATAACACAGCAAGTATAGTAAGACACTAAATAGAATTTTAGTGGAGGTATATGAGAGTTTACTAAAGAATTCTTTCCTTCTATATTTGCAATCTTTCAGAATAAAATGCTGGTGGGGGCAGCAAAATCTGAAAGAGAAATAAACGTTATTTCAAATAGGACATCCCAAAGAAAGTGCACTCTTACCTTACAAGGTAGCTTCTAAGTTCTCCTCGGTAACTGATGACCAAGAGCTCCGCAGACCACTGCGCGCTTGCTTCGTACTCTAAAAATATCAACCCAGCAACGGCACAGCCCAAATCACCTGCTGAGCCAGACGCCTGCAGGAGAGGGGGAAGGCAAGCTACTGAAAAGATGCCAGATGGACGTTAACTTGTGTATAACTGGAAGATATCCGAGACACTGGCCTTGCTGGGGGTACTTTAAATAAGACGGCCCCAGAACTGATCTGTATTTGAAGACCCATGCAAGCCAGAGTGCCCAGAACTAGACACTCAAGTCTAGACCAGCCCTTCCAGCCACAGGCTGGGAACACAGCAGCCTGTTTGGGTGAGATGTTCACCTAGTAGGTGAATTTCTGTTTAGACTACACGTCTAGGGCAAAAAAGAGGGAGAAAAAAACAAAGTAATGCCTCAAAGAACTCTAAAATACAGAATTCAGACATGAAGTTTCAAAGGTTAATTTCCACTGCCAGAGGTAACCAATACTGAAAAAAAACTCCAGTTATTTCCATTTGCCTAATCAGCAAGTTAAGCGAAGGACACTTAGAACACTCACTCAGTGCCAGTATTTCTACACTAAGTACCTGAAGGCACGTGCACCCCAGGAAGCACACGTAAAAGGCCCTGAACGGCTCCTCACTGTCCAGAGTCACTCCAGACATAGTAAAAGATGACAGCCACATGTGGCGACTGAACCCTTGATGCCTGGCTAGTCTGAACTGAGAGATGCCGAACATAAAAATACACACCAAATTGCAAAGACTTGGTACCAAAGTAAGAATGCGAAATATTTCGGTAACTTTGACCTTACCATTTTAACATGGAATTGTTTTGGATGTGTTGTATTAAATAAAACATATCGAAAACATTTCACCTGTTTCACTTAATGCTACTAAAATTTTTTAAATTGCACATTGATCACATATACAGCTCACATCACATTTCTGTCAGACAGTGCTAGTCTAGAAAACAGAAATTCAACCTTCTTACTTTGTTTCCCCAGAACTTCCATAACAGGAGCCAATGTACTTTTTCAATTTCTGTTCACTCATTTCTGAACAAAAAATCATTCTCTGCATCATTGGTTCTCATCCCTAGCTTCTCATCAGAATCCGCTGAAAGCCCTGAGACACCATTAACGTCCGGGTCCCACTCAGATTCATTACATCAGGCTCTGCGGTTGGAGCCCAGGCAACGCAGTAGTTTTAGCTTTTGGTTTCCTTGTCTTTATAAAGTTTCCCAGGTGATTCTAAGATGTAGCCAGAGTTAGAACCACTGTTCTACCTGCCCCTGTACTTTGACTATTTGAGGGAAGAGGATACAAAGTAAAAAGCACTGGATTCCTGAAAGAGATACTGAGAAACTGGATCACATGCGGGAAGGTCACTGTACCTCCTCACAATCTATGTTCTCTAAACTGTAAAATGAGGGTAGTATCTACCCCATTTTCTCAAAGGGTATTATGAATACTAAGTAAGAATATATCACAAAGCCATTAATAAAGAATAAAGCACAGTACAAATACAAGTTATTACAACCACTAATTTTTTTTTTCTCCACTTGCCATTTCAATTTCTCTTTAGTGCAACAAATTCTAATTCCTCTCGAAGCTGGTTCTGTTGCAGTGGCCCACTGACTTCTTTCCTTCACTGGAACTTCACACCAGATTCTGCACCTCCAGTTAGGACTGACTTACTACCACATTTTAAGAACGGTAGACTATGTCTGGACAGTGCATTACAAATACAAAGCATCGGTACTGCATGTACAGATCTCTAACTAGACTTGAGTATCTTAAATTCACAGCTTATTATTCTGATTTACAGTCATACTTGCTCTCTCATTACGTTTGTTCATTCATTCAAGTACCTATACACAAGAGGCAGTCAAAAAAAAAACGTTTTCTGTTTAAGGTATGCACGAACCGGAGTAATAACGAAGAGTTCACTTCCCATAAGATCAAACACCCGCACAGTCCCCGTGCTTTCGGCATAGGCCAGCAGGGTACAGTCGTAGCTCCACGCCACCCGTCTCCACTGGGGTTTTGGGTCTTTTGGAACTAGAACGAAAAGGAAAGAAGTGCCTTTAACATTGCAAAGACAGTAAACACTTGTAGTTCCTGCAACTAAAGAAAGTATTCGAGTATTACCTCACTTCCTAAGGGTCTCTAACACTTCTGTTCGGTAGAAAGGAACAGTTCCCAGAAAGTAAGAGCGGGAAATACAGACCCTGACAAGCCTGCTCCCACTTACGTGAGCAGACCCCGTCCGCTAACCCTTCAGGAATGATACACCTCCAAAGACTCAGGGAATTCAGAGAGATCAAAAGCATAGAGGCCAGGCAGAAAATAACTGCAATGCAATGAGTTCAGTTCCTTCAAAGGCAAAAAAGAAGAAAATTTCAACTGAGATCTTTTAAATATGTATACCAAATATAGATGCTAAAGAAATATAAAGTGGGATGATACTGACACAGGATTAGAAAAAGAAAAAAAATACATATGTGCATTAGGCAAGTGAATCAAGAACTGATCTTAGCCAATCACACAAAAGATTTTGATCAGCAACACTTTCATCATCCAACACCTGTATTTCCTTCTGTTCTGAATTGTTCAGTACAGCAATAGAAAGGCCACCAGCTGCACCAGAAAAAGGGGCTGTGAAACTCTAAACTGTGTGAGGTTTGTTTGAGGGTTTTGATCTTTCGTTTGCTTCTGTTTCCCCTTATTAGAATCTCAGAACTGAAGAGACAGGTTGGACCAGTGTCTTCCCTTCACCAACAAAAATTGCAAATGGTTAGGAGACTCGAGGTGACACCACAAGTCAGGATCAGAATGAAGCCCAGAGCCCAAGGGTTCCCCACACAGTGTGTGCCCATCACAACACACTGCCCCTCGGCCAGAGCCTGGTTTAGCCTGAGGGGTGCTGCCTCAGATATGTTTCCAGAATTCATCGCCTTCTCTCTATTTTTCTGCTGATATCCTCATTCAGGCTGCATCACCTCTCACTTAGTCTCTCACCACAGCCTCCTAACTGATCTTGCCACCTTCAGTCTCCTCTCTTCTAATGCTTCCTCAATAGTGTCCAAAAATACCTTTGTAAAGTAGGAAGATGACCAGATCACAAGCTTCTGCTGCTAAATCCCTGATGCTTGTCCATTTCCAACAACATCAAAGTCCAAACTCCTCCACATACATGAAAGGCCCTTCATGAATGGTCCCATCGTAGCTGTCCTCCCACTCCTTCCTCCATCAGACACCTAATAACCCACTAGTAACACAACTACTTGGCAAGTAAACCACACATGCTCCAGTCTCTGTGTCTACCGCACACACAGCCATTTCCCCTAGAACGTTCATCTCCAACACTGCTCAAACAGTTCGTGTTTATTACAACTGCAGTGACAAACTGCCACCTCCTCCTCCTTTGACACTCTTCAAAACTGACCACTGTCCTCTGTGCCCCCAAAATGCTGTACAACCATCTCTCATAGCATTTTCACACCAGATTATGCTGTTTACATGACTGTTGTCCGCACAAGTCTGAGACGACGTCTCATTCAACACTACCCCCCCAAGACCTGGACTGGAAAGTGGTAATGTTTCCCTGATGAGTGAGGCCCAAGCCTGTCAGGAAAATCTACAGCAACGGGGCAAGGAAAAGCTAAGGGCTTACCATCCTCAGAGACTAATGATTAAATGTGAGTTATGTAACCGAAGTCTTCTCTCCACCTGAAGAAGGTACTGTAGGGTTCAAGTTCCCTCTTATCTCTGCAATATATGTAAAACATGTTCTAGACATGGAAAAGTTCACCAAATGCCAATGAGTTTCTTCATTATGACTATGTATCAAGAGGTGAAAAAGCATGGCAAAAAAAATCTGAGAGAGGCCCTCGAACACAGAGGGTCTAGTGAATTTTATTAAAGTCTAACAAAATACCACATATACTCTGGAAAAGCAGTTTTTTAAAGAGGGGAATAAAATGAAGAAAAAGATCAGTTCTCTGTCCTCAGATAGCTTTAAAAGGAAAAAAAATCAAACTTGGAAGTAAACTTAGGCACAAAATGACCAACAACACAAGACTACAAGACCCGCACCTACACAGATACTATGTGAACAGCAGCAAGAAGGCAATGCAATGCCCTGAGAAGGATTCACGGGCTAAAGAAACACAGCAACATTTTTCCATTATTACTGTTTTACTTGCGGTAACAGATCTTTCATTTTGATAAGAGGATAAACAGATTTACGCACCACATTGTATCTGTCTGAAGTAAGTTCCATCCGAAGGGAATTTATCTTTACTATTACTTCTAGTTATAACCAGTAGCTCCAGAAAACTCAGCATGTGTTTTGACCCAGATAAAGATATGTTTTCATTACAAGATAAGGTTTCACATAACAATGCAAAAATAAAGACATTATCACCAGATTTTTCCAGCACCCTATGTGGTTTTGGAAACAGTACAGATTTTCACAAAGTTAAGTGACAATGAAGTTTTCTGAAAAGTATTCAAAAAGGCTGATGATAAAATTAACGAGCAATTTGACAACTGCCGTGTTCCTGGTGAAACTGTTTACACTCACTCACCTCCTGCACCAGCTGCGGCCCCTCCAGCCTGCCCAGACGCCAAGCTCCTTTCAGCTCAGGGCTTCTGTCGGTGCTGTCTTCTCTGCCTGGAACACTCTGCCCCTGGCTCCTTTCCATCTTTCTCATCTCAATGTAAGTCTCACCAGCCCTCTCTGACTGCCCTGTCTAAGCAGCCTCGAGACCCCACTGTTCTCCCCCATTCCAATGATTCCACATCTTTTACAGCCCTTATGCCATGTAAGTATAGTATTTGTCTACTTTTCATTGTATGCCTTAAGCGTTAAGCTCTGAGTTCCACAATGTCAGGTGTTGCCCATCTTGTCCATCACTTACCACCAGCGCCCAGCCCTGTGCCGTACACAGCAGCACTCAGGGGCTAAGGAGCACGCTTCAATCCACTGCTCATTTACCCAAACTAGAAATGGAAAAGGGAGAAAAATAAAACGAGGAACACCTGGTTTTATTCTCAGTGATGCCATGAAACAGCTGGGTGTGACCATGGGGCAATCACCAAGGCTTCACGGAGCGCTCTCTCCCAAACATCCTTTGACTTTTACATTAAAAATCAGCAACAGCAAACTAGTGGCACTAGAAAGACATGCAGAGGAGCTAAATATTTAAATGTGTGAAGTAACAGTGTTGGTGGAAGATATGGGAAACATTTTACAGTCCTAGAATAAGCAAGGTCTAAGCATGATAAGAAACTCGGAAGTTACAAAGGAAAAAAGAAAAATGACAAATGCAGACACCAAAAGAAAAAAAAGCTTCATGGAAAAAAAAAGCCATAACACATTTAAAAGACAGATCGATCGGGAAAAATATTTGTAACACTTATGACAAGAGTAATATTCATACTACATAGAAAAACTACAAACCAGTAAGGAAAAGTCAACTAATGTAAGAAGAATATAGGCAAAAGGATATGATCTAATAATCCACAAAAAATAAAAATTAAAATAGCCACTTAACATATGTTCTAATAACTAAAGATATGCAAATTGAACATGAGATGCGTTTCTCCCTGTGCCTGCAACCTGATGAATATGTTAGAAATAGGTAACATACGGTGCTGACAATGGAGAAGAGAAATGGCTTCAATCATATCTTTTTCATGGTTGTATAAATAGGTACAACTTTCAGGAAGGAATTATGGCAGTAGCTGTCACACTGTGAATACTACACCTATAGACAAACAGGTGTCTTTTCCAGCGCGGTTAGAAGGGGAGGGGAGTGAGATGGGCAAAAGAAATAAGAAAGAAGCCACAGTCTAAATTTCTGCCAAGAAAGAAAGAAAGAAAATGTGGCTCGCATTCTCACAATGGAATACTGTGACTACATTTAAAAGACCGAATTACGTCTGTACACACTGACTGGGAAAGATATCACCAATTCAGTAAGTGGGGGAGCAAACTGGAGAACTACATGAGATGACCTTGTTTTGTTACCCCCAAAAAAGTCAATCCATGTATATAAATTTCTTAACTCAATGTCTCCTCCCCTGTTTTCTGGCACCCTAATTATATGTGTTATACTCTGTGATGGGTTGTGATTATTCCACTAGCTACTAATGTTCCACTTCTTTAGTTTTTTCCTCCATTTTTCAATTTGGATAGTTTCTTTTGCAAAGCCTTTGAGGTAGAAGATTTTTGTGTGTGTGAGAGCTACTGCCAAAATTCCTTCCTGAAAGTTGTACCTATTTATACAATCGTGTATACACAGGTTCATACAAGCATAGAAGATTTTATATTAAATCATTAACATAAGTTGCTATGAAGAATGCAAACTGAGAAGATAAAACAATCTTTTTGTTACTTTTGCTACTTCCATACTGTTTGAATTTGTTACAATTATGTACTGCTTTTGTAATTAAAAGAGAAAAAAAAAGAGTTACTCGTTTCAGAGTAGGCCTCCCACCATAAAATTAAACTATGTCAAAGAATGGTTTTCAGGTATTTTACGACAAGCAGTACAAACAGAAGTGAAACAGATGAGGTGAGCCCCAGGACCACCCCTGCTCTCTGACAGGAAGCACTTTCTGGAATGTGCTGCAGGAAGAGGGACATCAAACAGAAGTCTCACTGAGCAGAGATAAAGGGTGGAGTCTGGAGTTTCTAAGCTGACTAGAATTTGCAAGGCAGAGAAGTGAGTGAGGCAGAAAAGGAACTTTAAAAATCTGCAGAGAAGACTCCTTGGGTCTTTGGCCAAATACAAAGCTACACACATGCAGAGATTCTATAAGGCCAAGAAAAGGAAAAGTATCGTAGAAAAACAACTATCAGAGATTGGAGAGCATCTGAAAAGGTATGAGCTCCATCTCGTCACAGCGGAGAGACTACTGAACACTCTGAGCATCTGCAAAAGATCTTAGAAAGGCCTCACCTTAAAGCAGGGCTGAAAAACCCTCAACATAAAAACTGTTCTAAACCTTATCTTACATGTGGTTTTTAACTTAATTTTTAAAAAATATTT